TGAAAAATGGAGGAAATATCCTCTTGTAGTCAGCAAAGAGCTTTTTTCTTCTGAGCAACATCAAAGCAAGTGGGCTTAGCTGAGCAAGGGCAAGTGGTCTTGGGACAGCCTTTGGAGAGAAGAGTACTTTTCTATGGAGAAAAACTGTCTGTCTGTCTGTCTGTCTGTCTCTGTCTTTCTCTCTCTCTCTCTCTCTCTCTCTCTCTCTCTCTCTCTCTCTCTCTGCGTGTGCATGCATGCATGCGTGTGAGCGTGTGCTCTTGACTCCAGATAGGAAGAAATGCTCTCTCAAATATCCCTTTCCAGCTTCCCTGTGCCTTCTCAGTCTACATTCCTGGGTCAATATGGGATCAACTCCTTTCCATTAAAAATATTTTAATTTTTTGGAAATATATGAATAGAAACCATTTTTAGAATATATTAAGAAAAGAAGAATCATAACTAAGTGGTTGTAGATTCATTTTGCATCCATGGGACATAATACTACATAGTGCCTTGCTCAGCCTTCATTGCTGGTATGCTGGAGTCTCACTTCCAAAGAGCTATTGTGTAGCCTGCTTTCTCTTTTTCTGTGTGTTTGAGATATTTGGATATAGCAAGTGACATATGATACCTTCTTCAGTTCCAGGCTGATGCCTGGATCCCACATCCCCAGAGTAAATATTAATGATATTATCCTTCTAAATTTGAAAAAGAGCTCAAACAACCGAATGCTCTCATAAACTATCCCCTCTGCCTTGGTAAATCCCTCTCATCTTCACTATGTGGTGGCACTTATCAGACGTGATTAGAATTGTCTGTTTACATATGAACTTGCTTTGTAGAATTGCAGAAATAATTAGACTCCTAAGACCTTCTCATCTTCATCCTTGCTCTCCAGGACCTATATCTCCCCTTACCCATTTCCCAACTCCTCAGCCTATCCTGCTGTTTGTGATAGTTTGCTGAGAGATCAGCATAATGGGTTTCATATTTGAACCTCTTCCTAGGAAAAACTTTGAAAATTACTTTCCACATTTACTTAAACATAACTTAGACATGGGATTTTTAGGCTTTGAGAGCCACAGCTATCAGAATAGTGATCTGTCTGGTTCTCTCAATATTTATTGCATGGCTGAATTCTTAGGCCACTGCATTCCCTGGAGGGGAAATCCATTGTCTGGTGGCCCCACCATGGGTTCTGCTAGGTCTCTTGATCCATTTGTCTTTGGATGCTTCGCTAAGTTCTGTTCAACTTCTCTTCTGCTGCCTCTCCACCGATGTTCTCTTTTTAATGAGCCCGTGCCTAGTGCTTCCCCACTGGGTCTTGGCTGGGCTGCAGAGCTGGAGGCAAGAGGCATCAGGTTTTATGTGTGTGATGCTTTGTTTTGAACAACTAGAACCGTTTGTGAAATGGCTCCTCTGTGCATCTAAGGCCTCGTGTGCATCCAAAGATGAGCTGTAATCTGCTGAGTCTGTGCAAGGCATGCACTTCCACAGATGCCAGCTCCTCAAAGTAAAGAAACTCAGCCTTGTTTCCACTGGGTGACCCTCTTTTTCCGGTGAAAACCTGATAGCCAGTGTCTTCTCTCCTCCCTACAGGTCACCAGCCTGATCCCTTTTACAGCACGAACAATTTCTCAGTCAACCACAGACAATAACCAGGAGAAAACTAATGTACTAGGGTAACAATTCTCTAGCTCTATTACCTTCTCAAAGGAAAGTCTGGTGTTTCTATGTGGTTTCAAAGAAGGACCCCAGCAGGGTTGAGGCATAAATGCCAAGATCCATGAGCTGCTTCTTTACTTAGCTTCTGTGGACTTTTGTGGTTTTCCTTTCTTACTCCTTCACTCTCTGGATAACTTTGCATACCATCAGAATCTTCTTTGGCTCAAATGGTTAGAAATTTGTCCAAATGGCTAAGCAAACTGGCCGGTAATGTGCTCTAACCATTCACTCTTTCACAATCAGGTGGTGGTCCAGAACTGTGGTTGTCAAGGGAAAGGCACCATTTTCTGTGCCTCTCTATATTATGGGATGTCCCTGCTGCTGCCTTTATAGAGCTTTATTTATTCTTGTTACGGAGTCAGTGTGAGCATTAAATGTGAGGGTACATATAAAGTGTTTAGCATGGTGTCCGCTCAGTATTGCTTTTATAGATATACAAATTGAAGCTGAAAGAGATAGAGGATGTTTCCCAAGGTGTTGCGTTAAGGGACAAAGCTCTGATTAATCCCCAAGACCACCATACCCTCCATGTTATCATTGCAATGGCAACTAGATCCATCCATGAGTACTGAAAAGAACAGTTTAACTTAAGAGTATAAATGCTTTTCAACCAAATATTCGCAAGCACTCCTAGTCTCTTTTCAGCATTAAAATGATACCTTGTCTTCATTTAAATAGGCAGGCACCCTCAGATGAATCATCACGCAGCATGCTTTAAGATTTCCACTGCAAAAGAGCAGCCTTCACCAAATTCTCCGCTGGCAGGGATATCTTTTAAAATGTCAAATCTCTAAGGGAAGAAAATAGATCCATCTCTATTTCTGTCTCCTAGCCTAACAAAATCCAATTATGGTAGTTATAACCTCTCTTCTGCTTACCATCAGGATTAGCCAGGATTGGACTTCAGGATGACACATGACTCAAGTGTCCCGATGTTACCTTTTAGAGCAGGGCCTTTCTGACTAATTTTTGGCCAAACTTTTGAGAAATTATTCTGAATATATAATGACTCCCACCAAAACTCAACTGCATTTCCATTTTTCTCCTGGCTGAACGTAGCTAGTTGAGTTAATAAAATGATCCCACTGCTTTGTGTGTGTGTGATCCTCGAACCAAAAGATTCCTTTTCACTCTAGGATTGTTGTCTTTCATTAAAGCCAAGACTTTCAGAGGAAAGAAAGAGATACCTATCACACCTTGGGATTTAGCATAACTTGGGATAGTCATTATGCTGATAATTAAATGATTTCCATTGCAGAACTAACCTTGGCTTATTTTTTTTAAAAAAAAATCTGGAAAATATAGACCACCAAAAAGTTAATCACTAGTGGCTGGAGAGACAGCTCCGTTATTAAGAGTACTCACTGCTCTTCCAGAGGACCTGGGTTCAATTCCCAGCACCTACATGGATGCTGACAACCATCTATAACTCAAGTTTCAAGACCTCTGATGCCCTCTTCTGGCCTCATAGTGCACATACATGTAGACAAAACACACATACACATATTTTAAAAACATGTTTTAGTTAACTCCAATTACCAAAACAAATTAACAGTCTGATTTGTTCCCCACCCAGATGTTAACGAATTTCGGAATAACAATCACTCTATATTCAATTTCCTATTTTCCATCTGTAATCCTATATGATAAATACTTTTGTTATACATTCTTTGAAGTATTATTTTCAAAGTGTGTGCAGAATTTAGCGGAGTCAATGATAAGATTTTCTCAATTATGGTTGGATGTCTTGGTGGTTGCTCAACTTATGGTATGCTAAAATAGAATATGTAGTTGGCAGTGTGGGTGAATTTTTGTGGTCACAGCTATTCATGAGGCTGAGGCCAGAGCCAGAAATCACTTGAGTCAAGAGTTTGAGAACAGCCTGGACAACATTAAAAGGCCTCACCTTAAAGAAAATAAAAATTTAAAATACAATGATGTGAATTTTCTGTATTCAGGATTCTCTAGCATCAAATCTTCAGAATAGAATTACTGTGTCAAACTCTTAAACATTCAACTTCTTAACAACTCATTTCTTATTTCCTTCATCTTGTAGAACAAAATGAGAAAGGGGGAACACTGAGTCAATTCCTTAAAACTTGTTACTACACAGCTAAAGTCATTTCTGGTCCTAGCTCATTCAACAACTTGAACATATATATATTCAATAATTTGTATATTCAACAATATATATATATTCAAATTAAGGTTGATAAGTTAAAATATATCCCTTCCCAAACTGACTTTCTGCACATCTCTTCTTGCACAGCCCTCTGTCTTTGTCTCTGAACCAGTTTATCACATGACCAGAGCTGTCCTCTGAGCTCAAGTCCACCTTTGGTCTGTATTCCTTGTGTTCCCTCCGTACTCACTTCCCTAAGGAATACCTTCTCCTAATTCTCTTACCAGACTTGGGTCTATTTTCCTGGAAATCAGCTCTTTTCAGTGATTATGGGTATTGCCCCATCTGATATTTCCAATTTAACAAATACCTTTCATATCGTTATCCAGAAAAAGAAAAACTATAAAAAATGCCCATTTTGCAGTCCACACCAGAAAAGAAATTTAAGACAAGCGTCTCTCTGTTATTTATATTATATTGTATAAAAATGCTCAGCCAGCCTCTAGCTGTAGACACCTGCTTAACAGGCTGGTTTTATTAAATGTTGATATATTTGGAGGTTCTCTTTTCCTCGGTGCCTCGGTGGAATTTAAGCTATGGGAATTCTAATTCTCTGGGTGACAGAGAGCCTAGAGGCACCCTATGTCCCTTTCCATGTTGTCAAGAATACACAATGGGTGCTGTCAAATCACCTTACCTGACTTTGACACATGAATATACCACGGATGTACTCTTTTAACTTTCTCAAACCCCAGGAAAATTGTTGGTTCCTAGTATGTTTTCCTTTGCAACAACTCATTTCTTATTCCCTTCATTTTGTAGAACAAAATGAGAAAGGGGAAATACTGAGTCAGTGCCTGAAATTTGTTACTACGCAGCTGAAGTCATTTCCAGTCCTAGATCACAAAAAAATTAAAAACAGTAAAATGTTATGGTAAATTTCAGACCAGAATATTTGTCAGTTAGGGTGTGATCAGAAATGATTTCCCCATCTATTCCCAAATTAAACTGTGCTCAGATCAGTTTACAGTCTAAAATGTTAACAAATGATACAGGGAGCACCTTCTACTAGAACTCACACCATTAAGGATGGAACAGCCTGTGCTGATCTGATCTGGTTGCTAAGTACCCATACTTTATGACTCAGGGGCCCACAGAGATCTGAGGCGCCAGCTGCAGTTGAGACAGAAGATTCAGGAAGCTGCAATATCAACCTGTTGAAGATGAATGTAGGCACAAAGCTGCCCTGGAAATGTTTAAGCGCTTCAGACAAATGAAGCGAGACAAACTTATTCAACATTGGAGTGTTGTGAGGTAACAACCCAGTCAGAAGCCATCTGGAACTTACCTTGAGCTGCCAGAGGGTATTTCAGGCAAAAGACAACTAATATCTCCCAGACTGTGTAATTCCTCTTTTCTTTTGCCTTATTCCCAAATAACATTTATTTAAAGGGAATGCAAAATGATTAGGTTCTCAAGCTTGGTGTAGTTTCTGTGTATCTGTGTGTGTGTGTGTGTGTGTGTGTGTGCGCGCGCGCGCGCATGCAAGATTATGTTTTTCCTTTCTTTGGCTACTAGGTTGCCTTATTTTCCTCCCTTCTTATATTTTGTGTTTTAGATCCCTTCCCTCACATATGACTATATTATACATGTGTATGATGTGATTTGATATGATATGAAGTTAATTATATAAAGGAAGTCATATTTGTCTCAATAGGGGCCCAGAGAGTAACCTCAGTTCGTGTCCAGCCACTAGCTTGTGAGTCAAGCTTGTTGTTTTCTGGGCATCAGGTTTTTTCCTCTTATAAATGTGGTATCTGTGAGCAAGGCAACTAAAGTATGAAAAGCATACTTTATTGTAGTGACTTAGTCCACTCTTTGGTCATATGTAGTAGCTAGTAATGGCTATTTCTATATTCCTTTCTGGAGGTTCACAGTTGATTAGCATCAACTATGATCTATCTAGACAGGCCAGTTCTGAGGAGGAAGCTGTATCTATGTATTGTCCTGGAAATCCTGTGCTTTAGAATGGCTTGCCATCCTCCAGCTTTGTCATGGAGTCTTCAACACAAGTAGTTAATTTTGAGAGTCTAACAAAGAAGGGAAAATGTGGTGGCTAGAAGCTGTTTGAAGGGTAGTGGAGAGCAAGATTTAAATGTCTGCTTTTCCATTTACTGTACAAGACAAGTGCTCCCTTCTATTTCAATGCTATCATCTGAAGACTAGATGCTTAATGACAGCCGACTGTATCTGGTTAAAACTTCAGGGCTGAATTTATCCAGGAGATGTACAACATGGGAATCAGAACAAGTTTTCCACGAGTGCTTGAAGTTTGAAGATTAGGATCTGAAGACTAGAAAGGAGAGTCATAAACAAGGAGGACTAAGAGAGTCTGTAAGTCTCTACTGGTCTTTCCAGCCAAGACTCTCTCCATTGAGGGGGTTTACAAAGCCATCCTACTGTTGGTCATGCCATAAAACATCTCAACACTTCAGACTCTCCCATGTTGGACTCAGTATAAATGAGTCCCATGGGATGGTCTGTTCTAATGGAAAATGTGATACGTACCAATCAAACTAAAAGCCTTAATGCACTTAAGGAAGGTTATTATCCTCAAATACTATCACAAAATAGTGCCAATATACATTTACCCAAACATCTATAAGTTCATGTTTCCATTATGTTTGCCCAATGCCTCATACTATGTGAGGAAGTTGGAGCCCACAACCCACTAGTTCCTTCTATTTTCAAAGAGACTTTAGTTGTAACTTTCAGACCATATAGAGAATAAACTGTCACTTTGCCTTCGAATTCTTTGTATAAACTTGCACCCACTCAGTGTTCCTGGTTTCCTTGCAGCTCAAGGTATCAAATTGTCTCCATTTTTGCCTCTACTATTGATTTTATTTCCCATTTCCTCTGTATTTTTAAATTGAGGCTGATAGTGTTTCTGCCCACATAAAATTTGCAAGAAACTTATGAGCCTCATTCTACTACATGTGAGGCTCCTCTAGAATCTGTCCAAGATCATCCCACCTCAGCTTTTAGCTTCTTTTGAGACACTTTAAAAGTCCCTCTGAGAATACCCAAAATCGTCAGCCCTGGCTAGGCTGATGTTCGCTATGTACTCCAGGCTGGCTTGAAACTCACATAAATCCCCTTGTTTCATCTTCCTGAGCAGTGCATTTACAGGAGTAAGCTATATGCCTAGTTACTTTAAAATTTTTTTAATTTATGATTTCATATTTAATCTTAAATTTGTCATGCAACTCAACATATCTGTGATGTGCTAAGAATAAGAGCATGTGACTTAGAGAAAAGCTATTGTTCTGTCTACCATGGCTCCAATCCTGTCAAATTTCCATACACTGATGCCACCAGTTTTCTAGGCCTGCTAGGAAGTAAAATAGAGCCGATTCAGTCTAGTAAGTGAAGGTTCTGGAGAAATCTCTCCAATCTCAACTATGCTTTTCTGGAATATTCAGCCTTTGTCTACTGTGATACCTAACAACAGCTGTGCATGTAGAATCATGCATGTGTGCAATGAAGAGCTCAGGGAAGCTAAGAGGGAGCATGTCAGGGACAAGGACAGAATCTCTAGTTAGTGGAAAAATACAGACCCCCAATAAGATGGGGAACTAGATCATCTTACAGTCAGGTTGCCTAGCAATAGGACATTGAGTCAGAGCCCTTGACCCTTTCACCCTGTAAACATCCTATACAAACATCATGTTAGTTTGCCCACCTTATACAGATGACAGCTTCTTGCTCCCCCCCCACCCTGTGGAACTATATAAACCTTTGTGGAAGAGAAATAAAGTGGCACCTTGATCAGAATCTAGACTTGGTGTCTTTTCCTTTGTATTCTCCTGTTCCTACATTCCCTCCTTAGGGTGGTCGAGAACCCATTGAAGCCCTGCAGGCGGTGCAGGAACAGATTTTCTTTTTCTTCTAAACTATCTCTAGTTATCATTGATTCTACCTTTCTTGAAGGATGTTAAAACACATGAACTATCATGTGCTTTAAAGAGGACAAGCATAATACTTCTTAAATCACCTTTAAGTTCAAAGTATGTTATGTTCTGAAGATGTCATAGTCAACCTGAACCAAATTTGGAACATAAATGCTAGTGATTTAACTATGAATATCTACTCATTCCCACTAAATATTATTTTGTTCATAGATTCTGACATAACATACCATAGAGTAGGTCAAGCCTTATAATGATTGAATAAAATAATAACATTTATCCTATGTTTGAGTAATATCATGAATATATCATGTGAGTCAGCAGCTGCTTCTTAATTACCAAAGCATTAAGAAATAATTGTATCTCTTTTTAATGATTAAATTTGTTGATGATTTCATACATGTGTGACGTATGTTCTGTTTACTCTTCTTATTCCTCCACACTCTCTCAACCGCTTAACCTGCCATCTCATATTATGAATATCCCCTCTCAGGGGCGTGGCATTGGTTTGTGTCTCATCTTCACAGCAGACCACCCTGCACTTTACAATCAGGACACACTCTCATTCTAAGCATCTGTTTGAAATCTTGCTAATGTGAAGAAATGACGTGGACATTCACCCCACAGTGTTGGCTGTGCCTTGCCCCTCTCCTGGAGTCTTAGAAGAGAAGCATCATCTTTAATAGTGCAGGTGCCTGATACTGAAAGATTTTTACCAATGGGGCTAGCATAATGGGGTGCACTAGTGATCTGATTTTCATCCCTCATGTCCGTTTTCATTCCCCTGATGCCAATGCTGCTTTTGTTTTCTATCCTGATTCTCATTAGTTCGTTGATTTGTTTTGATTGGTGGAGGCAAGCTGCTTCTCTTCTGCATGGTAATTTGTATGAAATCCAGAGAGTGGAGTGACCTATAGCAGAGGCATATATATGACTGTATTCAGACCAATGGGATTTACTTTAAGAAAAATGATTACAATTTCTATTCCCGAGTTTCTTCACTTTGTCTTTGCTGTTAAAGTTCTACCTATTTTAAATGTATTGTAAATTATCTGCTCTAGATTTACTTCCTGGTGAACTAGAGGAAGTAGACAGTTTTCATTCTGTAAGTTAACCCCTGGTAATTTTGTAAATATAATGCCCTTGATCCAGCACTGGTTTACAGAAAAGAATGCAAGCAACCACACTTGTATAGATTTTGAACACGGGATGAGAAAATAAGCCTGTTTATCTTCTGAAACGTGAGCCTCCAACTTCATTGTTTTGTACAAAACAATATGGTTTGGGGCTTTAGAACTGCTTCATTGATTTTAGCCAAAATGTATTTTCCACTAAGAGTTTAATACGTATTTAAAAACTGAAGATTTGAGTCAGGACATGAAACTTCAATTTGATGTCCTCTAAAGCAGTGCAGATTTTGGGATCTTCCCCTTGGATGGAAATACACAGGGGGTGAATCTGGTCAAGCTACTTAAAATACAGACCCATGTGGCCCAGAGAATACAACCACTGAAACGTAACCTTACTTGGGTATCAGCTGCAAGATCTATGTTAGTCAAAAGGATTTTGCTTATTAAACAAATATGACATTATGTAACTACACTGATATAGTAATTGCTACTAATATGTAAGTCTAAGACCATAGCTTTAGGATTGCGTGTTTATAGAATATATATTAAGATAAGTAAGTAAACAAATGGAACAATTATATTCTGTATAAAATAGGTTTTTACCTCTTTAAGCACCAACAGTCAACTGGCTTTAGTGTTGAAAGTAAAAAACAAAATAGATTGTCATCAAAGGACATGTCCATCAAACTGCTTTGCAACTGTTCTGGAAAAGGGCTGCATTGCCTCTGTAACGGGGCCCTTTGTTAGTTACCTGGATTTGTCAGTGATTCACAATGGATCTCTGAATCACAATGGGTCACTAATGAAGACACAGTGACAATGAGTTATTCTGCAAAGAATATTTATGGCATCCTTGTTGTGTACAAGCTGCTTAACATGGCACTGATGTTCACACCAATTTTGGAGCATGGGTCTCAACCAAAATACTGAACAAGTAGCTACAGCAAATTTGCAGGAATCTTAGAAGATTCAATACAGACTGATTTAAAAAAAAAAAAAAAAAAAAAAAAGGCCAATTTTAGACTTCAAGCAAACAGTAACATTTAATTCCGTAAGGTTGAATTCAGTACAGCATCAACTATTCAATTCAAGCAAAGAACTGAATGATGAGATAGGTACTATTTTCAGTGACAGAGGAAGCATAAATCCATCAAAACACAAACAACAACGACTTGTGGATAGCAGCGTATGTTAATATTACTAATGGAATTCATGGTTTTAGATTCTGCGATTATTCTTCTCGGAATTTAGCCTCGTAACCAACTGAAATGATCAGAGATTTAGACATAAAGATGTTTGAAGTCACTGTGATATTATCTATAGTACAAGGAAATTGGCATCAACATAAATATTCAATGATCAGAGTGGATAAATAAATCATGCCATATTCTTTTATTGAAATGTCTTGTAATTACTAAATAACATGTAGTTTAAATGAATTAATAGCATAAAATGTTCAAAATATAGCATTAAATTAAAAGATAGAATACAAAAAGACTTAGTGTGACATCAATGTTTTAAAGGGAAAAAGATATTGTCTTAGTTGGGGTTTCATTGCTGTGAAGAGACACCATGTCCATGGCAACTCTTATAAAGGAAAATATTTCATTGGGACTGGCTTCTAGTTTCAGAGATTTAGTCCATCATCGTCATGGTGGGATATGGCAGCATGCAGACAGACATGGTGCTGGAGATGGAGTTGAGAGTTCTACATCTTCATCTGTAGGCAGCAGAAGGAGACTGAGAACTATGCTGAGCATAGCTTGAGCATATGAGACCTCAAAGCCCACCCTCATGGTGACACATGAGACCTCAAAGCCCACCCTCATGGTGACACATGAGACTTCAAAGCCCACCCTCACAGTGACACATTTCCTCCAACAATGCCATACCTTCTAAATAGTGCTGCTCCCTATGAGCCAAGCATTTGAACACATGATTGTATGGGGACCACTCCTATTCAACCCACCATAGACACTAAAATATTAAAGGCTATTGTCTTCAACAGAGGGCCTAGAAGTCTATTTTGCCTTCAGAAGATTCTTGGGGTGGATCTCCCTGAAGTGTACCTGAGTGAAAATGAGCAGGATTCAGCAGAGGGTGAGTCTGACTTACTGATTGGGAACAATGGATTCATCAGACTCATCTACATTGTCTTTAGGGACGGGAAAAAAAAAAAACCTTTAAGGTTTTTGAAGCTAAAACTTTGTATGAATAGACCAGCCACTGGCTGGGATGTCCACTGAAAATGCTAAGCAGTAATGTGAATGTTTATCCTTTTTTGTAATTTTTGCTTCAAGATTCTTATACTCAACTATAAACTCCTGTCATGAAAAGTCATGAGAGTAGTCTTCATGAAGAGAATGAGTGTGCTTATCAATTAGACCCTGGAAAATGACTTCAGCCTTTCTGCATGTAGGGACACAGCAGCCCACTGAGTATCTGTACAGGAAGACTAGGACTGAGTATGGTTTGAGTATGTGGCCCTAAAGTTTATGTGTTGGAAGCTTGGTCCACGGTGTGGTGATGTGCAAAGTGATAGGACCTTTAAGAGTTGAAATCTGGTAGGAAAGTTTAAGCCCTTGAGGTTTCTGTTGTCAGAATGGTTGATTTAGCTTTCATGGGACCCCTAAAGCACTCAAGAAAGTGAATTACTAGAGCAAAAGAAATCCACAAACCACTCTCTCACTTCCCTTTAGGAGGTGTGATCTCATCTCCCTGCACACATTCCTGCTATTACAACTTTATCTATCATGTGGTCCTGTTCAGGATAGAACTGATACCAACACCATTCCTTAGACCCTTGGTAATTCTATCATATGAGCCAGTCTGTGGAACTGTAATGGTAAGGAAAATTAGGACAACATACAATAATATCTTTGCCCAACTCAACTATGCTGGCACCCTGATCTCAGAAATCTAAGAACTGTAAGAAACAAATTCATATTGTCTTTTAGCCACCAAGTTTACAGCTTTTGTTATAGCACCCTGAATGAGCTATGATGGTATAACCTTGCTTAAGAGATTCTCTGCAGCTAAAGCCAATTCAGTGGAGAGAGGAAGGCTATGAACTGCCAGCAGCTGTATTCTTGGCATCTAAGGCATGGATGTGTAGCCTTAGGGGAAAAAAACAATCTGAACAGATTTCTATCATATCTACCATGAGGGATTCTTACTAATGGTGAGGAGTTACCCACAATTTCCCCTGTACTATCTCTTCATCAGGAAATGTTTATGTATACTCCTATTTCTAGGATAATTTAGTAATAAGAAAATGCCTATTGTATGTAACAACAAGAAAAATGAAGTATTCAAGCCTTTGTATTTTGAGTTCTCATTTGAATCCTCCCAGTTCTAGAAAAATGAGAAGACAAAAGGAATCAGAGCATGTCTTTGTTGCTGTCGGACATTGTTCTCCATCTTATGGAATATAAGATGAGAGTATCACAATGTTTTGTGTTTTAGTGGCTCCAGGTTGGTTTCTGGTGTCGTTAGGAAGCCTTTCACCATTTTTGTTTGGGAGTCAATCAGTTGTTAACCAGTTATACTTCAGGTTATAGACAGAAGTCACAAAGAGTGATCAATTTGGGACTCCCTCCCTGGCCCCTGAATACCCATCCATATAAGTCAATCTCAAATTCTTCTCCCTGAGAATTTCCACAAATCCCTAGGCTCCAATTAACACTATCTGTCACTGGACTTCTGTGGCACTGGGTCACATAATCTTGTAGCCAGTAGTGAAAATAAATGTGTCATCTGTTTGACCATCCAGGCATAAAACTAAGAAGAATGGAGAGCAAAGGGCACATTTGGTCATTCACCTCAATTGAGGGGAGAAAAGGATGCTGGTAAAAGTGGCAAGCATGCATGTCCTCTACTACTCAAGGACTGTCATTCAAGCAGAGGACACTGCAAAGGTCTGAATGATCAACTGAGAGCCACTTACAGGTGCGTTCACATCCTTTCAGTCAATAAGTGCCGCCCAGGTTTGGAAATAACAATAGAAAAGCCAACTTTGGAATGTTATGTCAGGATCCCCAGGGTGGGTGTGCTATAGCTCTCATTCTAGAAGGTTTCTAACAACACCAGCTTTGAGTATGCCTCAAAAGTAGCAACAACTGAACTCGACCCCCGCTCACATCTGAAAATTACCTTGGAACATTTCTGAAGTCAGTAGTTTCCCTCAGTGGTTCTGTGTGGGGACAGCTGGACTATCTCAATCGCTCTGCGACATTGGCACACAACCAAATTGCATTTCCTGGCTTCCCTGGCAGTTAAGTGTGACCATCCTACATTTTAGCCAGTGAAAGATGAGCATAAACAGTGTGCAAGTTGGCCTTGCCTATAAGACTATAATTCTTCATGTTCTTTCTCCTTCTGCCTACTCAAGGCAGACACACATGATGACCTTGGAGACCCTATGCAAAATATGATGAACACAGAAAGCCAAAACTCTAAATTTTGAATCCCTCTTCAAATCAAGGACCCTACCAGTTATGGGTCCATTTTTCATCTTGCATGAGAACTATTACACCAAGCCACCAAAAGCTAGAGGTTCATCATCTCTAGCAATTCGAATTAGTGTGACAAATAGGGCCAGGTTTTCCCTGACTTGCATCTCATTACTCCCTCTGATTCCATTATTTCCACAGTAAAATAAGGATGTTCCTAGTAGGTAGTTCAGGAGGTACTGGGAGGATGTGTTTAGAGTAATTTCAGAGTGCTTGACCTGGGATAAGCTCATGATAAATGATGGATCTTTATCGGTCTTTCTTGTTCAGTGTCAGCTTTTGTTTGGCATTATGCAAAACATTCAACATATGTGATCTCAGCTAAATCAAAAGCCTGCAAAAAAAAGGCATTATCAGTTCACAATGAACACTGTAATGAAAAAAAAATGTATTCTACCAGCTCAATACTGTTCCACTTTCCATGCATGAGTCTCATAAATAACCCTATGAGCTAGGTGCAATTATTGTTCCCATGCACATGAAGAAAGTAAGCTTAGGTTTATCTTCCATCTTTAAGCCTATACAGCTATAAAGTGGGAAAATGTAATTCAAATAGGGATCTCTGGCTCCAGAGGCATCACTCTTCGCCACTGCTGGCTTGTCCCAGAGTGTCTGAAGCTTCCCAGGGACACGCCACATACTTGAGTCCTCTCTATGAGTACTCATGGTCTTAGAAGCCAAAGAGCAAGACCAAAAGGGACCACCTTTACAATGGGTCAGGAAATTAAATTTCAATATCATAAAGCAGAACTGAACTGGTACAATTTAGTCTTGGAAACAGGGGCCTCTGGATCAGTTTATGTTTAGATAACTTACCATGGATGTCCGGCATAAGTCAAAATGACTAATAGTGGATATCGGGGGCTATGAGTCAGCACAGAAATAGTGAAGATGGGATATCCAGGGAACCCCAAAACTAGGAAGTTGATGATTTCTCTTATAGAACTACTCTTGGCAAGAGTGACACTTTTGTGTGGGCTCTGTACAAATATGGCCTCGAGGTCAAATGCCTCCATGTTTGCCTGTATTTGTCTATCTGCAGTCTCATGTGCCTATGTCTGTATGCCCTGCGTCAGTCTGTACATACACCTGTGTCTGCTTCTGTGTGTAGGGGGGGAGGGGGGTGTCTGTTATGTGTGCACTTGGATACTATTACAGCAGCTGCCTGCCTGGCATTTTGTGTGGTGGCATTTACCTGGAATGAATATACTATGTCTTATCTTCCCAAAGCTCCAAACATATTTTTAAACCTCCCTAACCTCCCATTACCTTCCACCCTTCCTGGTTTCAGAATATGGACCTCACATTTAGTGCATTTCCTATAGGTTGGGCTTATATGATACTCACCATATAGTGCCACCAATTCTGAAAGGCTAACACAAGTCCCTTTAGTGTCTACTTACCCCACATTCCAAACTCTCACAGATTTGCCTACTGGGATGGCATTTGCCAAGATTTCCATCTGTTGTGAATCTTTGAATTTGATGGTACATTAATCCAGGCACTACCAACATAGCACGCTGGCAACATAGCCCGGAGACCCAGGATGGTGAGACTAGATCTTTGCTCTCTGTGTCTCTCTCATAGAGATGAGTCATCATGGAGAACCTGCAAAAGAGTCTGGTTCCTGGTTTGGGGGATGAGATTCTAGAACATTAGCAATGCCTAAAACTTTAACTGCAGATGTTGCTTGGAACGTAAACGAATCCATACAGCTGAATCTAATTTTCTCGTGAGGCTCATCATGAAGCTACAGCAATGTTGAATCTGCTTACCACACAGCTCTTCGATAAAAGGTTCATTTTTTTGCTTTCCCACAGGCAGAGATTTCTTTCTGCAGAATCTCTGCATTTAAATTATCCACCGGACATCATGGGATGATTGTCTAAAATATATGATTGAGTTTTATCATTTTGAGAGGGAGTTCATTATCTGCCTGCTGCTCGGCTGCAGTGTTAAAAATAGTACACACAGAATAAGGCATGTTGAAATCTATCATTACGTTTCTGCTCATGAAAAGCACTCTGCTATCTCATCCTTCAAGATTTACACAGCAAAGGATGGTTACTCTGTGGGCAATTAAAGGTATCACCCAGAGCTGATTTGAATAGAGAATGTTCCAGTACTATCTAGGCCACACAAACCATTTATTTAAGGATATATAAGTATCAGAGGAAAGGATTTTTAAATGCCTTTGTCTTTTAAAGTAGGATTATATACTAAATATTGTAATATATCATATTTGTCAAATATTGCATTAATAATGACAAATAATTGGAGCATAAACAATTAAATGCATACTCTTAACAGCTACAGTGCTCTACTAAGTGCTCTACATCCTGCATACATCTCTCGAGTACCAGTTCAATGTTAAGGCTGACACTAGAGAATCTGAAGCACCCAGGTAAGTCCCTTGGCTTCTCTGTTTCTACTTTACCTGAAAAAATGGAGAAATAACATACATACATACATACACACACACACACACACACACACACACACAAGTGTGTGTGTAGAATGGCTGTAGAATGAATAAAACCAGTGACTAGGCTTAAAATAAATAATTTCCCTGAAAAAACATGCTAGTTCATTTTTAAACTACTAAGGTGAACAAGTTCTTGGGTTCTGATATACAGCATAGTGACTATAGGCATGTTTTTTTTTAAATTCTTATTTATTTATTTATTTTAGTTTTTCAAGTCAGAATCTCACTCTGTGAGTCCAGGCTGGCTACACAGTAATCCTCTTACCCTAGCCTTACAAGTCCTGGGGATTCATTTGTGAATTGCCATGCCCAAATAATAGATAGGGGTAGTATAATGCCTAGTGGAAATTTGCTGACTAGTTTTAGTTTGTTTTTATGATGCTGAGTATGGCCAGACAAATACTCTACCACTGAACTGTACCCCTAGCCCTTAAAAGAGTACATCTTACGTATTCTCAATTCACAGTCTCTCTGTCTCTCTGTCTCTCTCTCACACACACACACATTAACTCTATGAGTTTGTTGGTTAACTTTATTGCAGTGATCATTTCACAAGGTGTGTATATCAAATCATTGTACTGAATACTTAAATAAATATATGTGGGTGTGTCCTTCCAGATCTTCTCCCTACTCACCCAACTTTAAGTTCTTTCTCCAAAAAACAAACAAATACCTGATACAACAACATACCCCCCAAAGCAAGAAAACAAAATAAAACAATACCCAAAAAGAAAACAAAAACAAACCAACCAAAAAAGCCCCAACCTGTAACCGGATAAAAGCACACATACACAAAAGCTGTGAAGTCCGTTATATGTTGGCCCAGTACTCCTGAACACTGGAGAAAACTGGTTTTCCTTCTCCCAGCAGGTATAAAGGACAGTTCAGTTGTTAACCTTTACCCTGGTAGCTAGGTTTCCTTTCAGGGGGTAATGAAAAGGGAAAAATTTATTCCAAACCTCCAAGGCTGTCTCCCAGGAAAGCAAGGAGAAGCAACAGTAGAAATATTCACATGGTTAAATGGGGAAGGGAGAGACAGGATTTGTCATGTTTAGGTTTTCATTCATTCATTCATTCATTCAGTTTTCAAAAATTATATAACAAAATAAAATGTACTAAGATAAAATAAAAACTATCACATCAAAGTCGGAAAAGACAAACCAACAGAAGAAAAAGAGCCCAAGAGAAGGCACAAGAATCAGAGAATCACTCATTTGCATACTTAGGAATCCCAAAATAAACACTAACCTGGAGGCCACAATATAAGTGCAGAGGACCTGATGCAGACCTGTGCAGGCTCTGTGCATGCTGCCTCAGTCTCTGTGAGGTCATATGAGCTTTGCTCATATAGATTCAGAGGGCCCTGTTTTCCTGGTGTCCTCCATATCCTCTGGCTCTTACACTCTTTCTGTCTCTTCTGTGGAGTTCCCTGAGCCGTGAGGGGAGGGATTTGATGAAGACATCCCACTTAGGGCTGGGTGTTCTAAGGTCTCTCACTCACTGCATAATGTGTGGATGTAGGTCTCTGAATTTTTTCCCCATCTGCTGTAGGAGGAAGCTTCTCTGATACTGGCTCAGCAGGGCGCTGATCTATGAGTATAGCAGAATGTCATTAGAATTCATTTCATCACTACTTTTTTTCTTTTTTAAAATCAGTATTAGGTTTTACCCTAGGTCCCTGGGCTATCAAATCTCAAGTTCTTGGTCACCCAAGCAGTGTTGGGTATGGGAATGGGACTTAAATCAAATCAGATATCGGGTGGTTACTCCCACAAGCTTTGTGCCACCATTGCCCTAGCCTATCTTGCAGTCAAGACACCACTGTAGATAAAAAGTTTGTAACTGGCTTGCTGTTTACTTTTCTCTTTTGATATAGTGCAGAGTACCTCACTATGCCAAAGATACTGCAATGTAGGAGGGGTGAAGGCTCTATGTGGGCACCCGCTTGATATCTCCATGTTCAAATATATTGAAATTTAATGTGTTATACTTCAATGAAACTGGAAAAATAGTCGGTTTTTTTTTTTAGGAGGCATACATTTATCCCTTTTACAAATTAAGGCATTTGAGAACTAATATATGTAAATTATATAATTACTATAATGTAAATTATAGAGTGTGCTTTGGCTTCAGAAGGCAAGAAAGAGGCAGGCCTGGTGCTAATCTGGTACCCCCCGCATTTGAGAGGCAGAGCAGGAGGATGTCTAGTTTGAGGTTATTCTGGGCTAATGAGTGAGACCTTGTCTAAAAAAAGTAAATAGGAGAGAGGTTAAAGGATTATATATATATTTAATTTTCATGTTATAGGCTGTATTGGGGAAATTGCAACCAAGAAATTTTCCATTATCTATGTGTCATTGTCGAGCCTGGGAGTGTTAGAGAGATAAAACTGTAGAGACAATCTGGGCTCCATTTTCTATCTCTAGCAATTAAGGTGAGTTGCTGAGTTGTATTATTAAATAAAATGTGTGGCTAGGACATCCATCACAAGTATGAAGAACTTCCCTTATCTGTTCCTCTAGTCTTAGTTAAGGTATTTCCAGCTAGTTTGGATGGTCAGGGTCTATAAAACACAAGTTCATAAAGTAGAAAGTTTTTGGTAAAATTAAACTACCAGGGACCATCTTAGTGTGACCTTTGAACAGTAAAGCCAGGTGTCTTCTGCTACTTAAAAACATCTCCTGAACTCATGGGCACAAAACACCAGGATTAGCTCAGCTCATTTCTCTGGTTGACAGAGTAAGTTAACTTCAGATGAGTGGTTCCTTTGGGCAAGGATAGTTTGGGATATTTCCAGCTGGTTTTAAGTCACAGATATTTGACATCTGAGTTTGCCTACTAGAGTTTGTTCACATGATGTATATGTTGGCTCCAAAGCAGTGGAAACACGCAAAGCATTTCTGGTGGGAAGAATGTCACCTTCTACAATATTTCATTGATGAAAGTAAATCACACATCCAATCAGATTCAAGAACTAGAAAAAAAAAGGCGTTCTCCCTTGATGAAAGGGGCTACAAAGTCATATTGCAAAGTGTAGGGCTAAGGTCAAAGAAAATTTATGGTCAGTTTTATAAGTGACCCAGATAACATGTATCCTATATTGTAGAAAACTAAAGAGAGCTCTCTTGAAAAAATTGAAGTTAATCTTGCAAATTGGCTAGGACCTTCATGGTCTTAAATACCTTTGTCTATTTTTCTGGCACCTACTTGCCTAATGTGAAGGATGACTTGTGTCGTTAGAATTAATCATTTGTCACATTAAAATAAGTGTGGCTGTGCAACTCACATTGATTCACCTCATATGATTGGATAGCAATTCTTTTAGAATATATGTGACAAATAATTAGCATGTTATCATTCCTGCTTTGATTTTATTGATTCGGTGGGAAGCTTTTCATACACTACTTCTGCACAGAGAGGATGGATTGGAGAGCCCTTTCTACAGATCTACAATTGTTAATCCTGGAATGTACTTCAACTAGCTAGGACAAGGATTCCTCGACAGTAACCACTGGGACTCTTACTTAAGTCAGAGAATTGTATCAAATCTTACAAAGATGAATATGCAAAATTCCAACACTCTAGTAATGACTTCTGTCATCTACCAAAGCTGGAGTCAAGACCCTTTGAAAGTGAATTTGTGAGCTTGTGATGTAAAGGCAGTTGATTGTTAATGCTTTCTACAGAGCAGCATACATACCAAATATAACAAATATAATTCCTCCTTAGAGATTTATTTATTTGGGTGTGTAAAGGTATGTGCATATGTGGGTGTACATGTACAAACTATATGTACTCATGGAGGCCAGAAGAGGGTGTCAGGTGTCCTTTGTCATTTTCTGGCTGTTCCTTTGAGTCAGGGTCTCTCCCTGAACCTGGGGCTCACATTTTCTTGGCTATGCTGCAAGCAAGGCTCCTGTGAAATATCCCACTTGTGTGGGTGCCAGGATCCAAACTTTGGTCCTCATGGTTGTGCAGCAAGAACATTTAACTCCTGAGCAATCTCTCCACTCACAATAACAAATACAATTCTCCAAGATGTGCATAGTAAACATAACCTTCAACGATTTAGAAAATGTCAGGGGCTTTCAAATTAAATTGTATCCAGAACATGAAAACGCCAGTGGTAGTCTGCAAAAAATGGTAAAATAAATCAATGACATTTTAAAAGGACTTAGAATTGATATTAATCTTAGTTGTCTCTGGATTGTCTATCTTGCATCACAAATGTAGAATATAGTATTTTCTTTTTTCTTCAAATCAAAACTATATGGAGAAGTAGGTAGAGAAATGGTGGAAGTTTATCAGAGATGATATAAAATGAGAGATGGAAACAACCCAGCTAATTCAAAATACTTAAATGTGATAGGGGGGAAAACTACTGGGGATCAGATTATGTAATCCTTCATTTCAATTTAAAGATCTTAGAGAAATTGTTTGCCCCAGTTTGGTCAGCTAACAGTTAAATAATTTTCTTCCTTTCAACAAATTATACTACGTTTGCCTTGGGGCCTGATCACAACTGTATAAGTCATATTCACCCAGTCTTTATGACCTCAATTTAACTTGTGTGAAATATTTTTAAATAAATTTTTGGATAATTTAACAGAGTGAAAGATTGTGGGATAATAGACATATTGGGTCTTTTGATTTAAATCTCAGTTTGCCTTCTTACCAGGTTTAAAGAAAGTACAGTTTGGGTTCCTGGAAATGACAGACGTGCCTCAACTCCTAAAAGCACGTGCTCTTACCTCTGTCTCTTACTGAGAGTTCCCACTGCTTCCAAATGGAATGCAAAGGCTATGAATTCAGGTGCACACTAAATAAACTTCTATTAGAATAATTTGTGTTGCTGGTTCTATAAGGACAACAACTTGGCCCTCGTAAAGATGAGATGCTGGAGAAGGAGGGTCTACACA